TCCTTAAAAATTGGTCTAAAACATTAATTTCTCAATTTGAACTCATATATGGGCCATTTTGAGATGTGGTAAGATTAGTTTTGTTGTCTTTACCTCCATTAAGAAATTAGAGAGATGTTTTGATCTAATGTGGGTGTGAGTATCCAGAAAGTCATCAGAGGGGAATGTGGGCTTGTGAGATGATAGCAAAAGCTGGCTGTTGAGAGTTAGTTGATAATGGAGTAGCGAGAGAGAATTCTGATGTTTCTAAAGGATCTGCTCTGAGATTTGCAGGAACCACACAGACCTTCAGACAGAAGGCAGGAGCCAGAGAAGAGAAAAATTTCTTCAGTAGGAAAATAGCCCTCCTACCATCGGCACTGAAACTTGCCCAGCTCTCTCCCACACCACACAAATCCCTCCCTCCCCATCTTCTCCTGCAGGTGCCGCCCTACTCCTCCCTCCCCTTGACTGTTCTTCATACCGATTTATATTCACTTTTTCTACTTCCTCACCTCCCGCTCACTTCTCAGTCCACTGCAGTCTGGCTTCTCGCCCCACTGCTCCACTGAAACATCACTTGTCAAGGTCACCAGTGACTTCCTTACCACTACACCTAATGCACACTTTTCCATCTTTGTCTCACTTGGCCTCAAAGCAGCTATGGATGATCATAACTTCCTCTTGGAAACTCTTTACTAAACTTTCATAATTTAGTAGTCAGCTTGATACTGGCCCTGATATCAGTTTCCCTACATTGAACCCAGCATATATGGGGTTAAAACTAAAGCACTCATTCCCTGCTTACTCCCTGGCTCCAGAATCCACTATCTGCCATACAGACAAATGGCCAAAGACAACCACCTGGATTCTTTATCTCCTCCTTCTCCTCTCTGCAAGTAGTCTCAAGGCCAAACACAGGCTGGTGGAAAAGCTCCAGCTAACAAGGCCACATGCTCCCCCTCCCAACCTAAAACCCCAAATAAATACCCTTCCTTTTAGCTTTTCAGGGAGTTTGGGATTTCAGCGTTAGCTCTCCTTTCTCCTTGCTCAGTGCTGTGCAATAATAAAATTCCTACTTTTTTCCATTATACCCGGTGTCAGAGATTGGCTTGCTATGCAATGGGTGAGTGAACTCACTTCAGGTTCAATATCATCTTGGTTTTCCTCCTGTGTGTATTCAATTGTAATACATTGTCTTAGACTTTACAAAGGTATCAGATAAAACACTCCCAGTCTGAACTCGCAGGCTTTCTCTGCAGATGCTTTTCTTTCTATGTCCTCCTTCAAAATGAATACCTCTCATTTACATGGATGCTAATGCTCCTTCACCTGACATGATTTCCATTTTGTTGTTGTTATGGTGAGAAAATTAAAGTTCTACTCTCATAGCAGCTTTCAAATATACAACACAGTATTGTTAACTACAGTCACCATGTGTACAACAGATCTCCAGAAAGTTTGTACCATTTGACCAGCATCTTCCCATTTCCTCCACCTCTCAGTACCTGGCAACCACCATTCTAGTCTCTGTTTCTATGAGTTCAATGTTTTTAGCTTCCACATATAACTGGGATCACAGAGTATCTGTCTTTCTCAGTATGACATTTTACTTGGTATAAGACCCTTAAGGGCCATCCATGTTGTCACAAAATGGCAGGATTTCCTGATTTTTTATGGCTGAATAATATTCTATATTATATATAAAATATATGATATATATATATATCTATATATATGTAACACAAAAATTAACTCGAAGTTCATTAAGGACTTAAACGTAAGACCTAAAACCATAAAATTTCTATTAAAAAGATAGAGGAAAGCTCCTTGATAGCAGTCTTGGCAATGATGTTTGGGATATGACACCAAAAGCACAAGCAACAAAAGAAAAAATCAACAAGCAGCACTACATCAAAATAAAAACTTCTGCACAACAAAAGAAACTATCAACAGAGGGAAAAGGCAACCTATGGACTGAGAGAAAATATTTGCAAATCATATATCTGATAAGGGCTTAATATCCAAAATATATAAAGAACTCATACAAATCAACAGCAGAAAAACAAACAATCTGATTAAAAAATGGGCAAAGTATCTGAATAAAATTTTTCCAAATAAGGTATACAAATAGCTAACAAGTACATGAAAAGATGCTCAGTATCATTTATCATCAGAGAAATGCAAATCAAAACCACAATGAGATGTGACCTCACGCCTGTTGGAATGACCGTTATCAAAAAAAGAAGAGATTACAAATGCTGGCAAAGATGTGGAGAAAAGGGAACTTGGTGTACTGTTGTTGGGAATGTAAATGGGTACAGTCACTATGGAAAACAGTATGGAGGTTCCTCAAAAATTTAAAAATAGAACCAACATATAATCCAGTACTCCCGCCTCCAGGGATATCTCCAAAGGAGATGAAATTACTCTCTTGAGAGGTGTCTGCACTCCCATGTTCATTGCAGCATTTTTCAAAAAAGTCAAAACATGGAAACAACCTAGGTGTCTATCGCTGGATGAATGGATAAAAAAATGTGAGATGTATATATAGGCAATTTTAAGGCCTTTAAACTTTACTAAAACTCACTGCTTGTGAGGAGCTGAGAAAAAAAAGTGAAGATTAACTGACTTCTGACAGTGGCTCTCTCACTTGTCTCTCTCTCCAAATCCTAAGGGGTGATCCTAGTATAACTCACTCCTGAGAGGGGATGCACACGCTTCTCAGGGCCTGCCTGAACAACCTCCCTGACTGACTCCAGGCCCAGCATGGGAATAAAAACCCAGCTATGCCAGGAGGCAAACTGCAAGGGAAAAAAACCACAAAACAGAAAAGGAACTCAAGATCTTGCTCAAGAGTACGAGCAGAAATAGGTAGCATATATGAGGGTGGGTCCTTAGGAAATTAGACCAGGAAGGATGAATTACTATGTTTGGATAGGGCCAAATTTATCAATACGAGGATACTCCCTGTGGACTCAGGAACAGCCCAAGCTGCATTTCATACCAATGAAATGTATATTTCTTTAATGGAATCCTGACAAATATTCTTTAAAATGCTCCATATTTCTGATGTGTAGCCATCTTTTGTGGTGACCTGAAGAAATATGTGGTGGTGGCTCTTTGATCATGCAGTCCACTGAAATGAAACAGATGGGCGCCCTACTAAGATACTTCTTAAGATATATATCTAAATATATGAAATTCTGGGTGCCGTGGGCAGAAAACTAACACAAGTCATCGTAACAGGGATTCAGATCCTCTTTCCCAGTCCTTGATATATCCTACCTTATAGACAGGAGGTGTCAACTGAAGGGGAGATTGAGTCCTTTTGACAAAATTCCTCATAACTTAGTCACAAGTATATACAATTAACTATTCCCCAAAAGTCCCCAAGGGAAACGTGTGGCCATATACCAGTCAAATCTCCTTCAGATTGAGTCTACCATGTATGGTGGCATCATTGGAAGATATGGCTGCTGCAATTAGCCTCGCTTTGGGTGGTTCTAAAATGTGTGGTGAAAAGAAATCTTCCTAGTGGGCAGCATTTAAGGAGGTATATTTAGTTGTTAACTTTGTGAAGAAGAGACATGTCCTGAGTTTAGATTTCTCTTGACTCATGTCCAGTAACTCAATGAGTTGACCAGTAGTAGGGGGCTAGACAAGAACAACACTGGAAAATTGGTGACAAAAGGACTGGAGGAGATGCACGTGGTTGGAATTCTAGGAATAGTTATTGAATGGGGTTTACAAACGCTAAACAGGGGATAGGACATTAGAGGTAAGAGAACAAGTGAAGTTTGGGTATTTATTCCTTTGGCTGTCTGTGTTGAGCTATGTAACGGCCATTACAATGTTTCTCTTCCCAAGGCCACAGCTCTTATAAGATTGGTCTTTTCTGCCAGGGTCTGGTAATATTACCTACCCTCATTATAGGCCTGGAGTGGTAAAGAATCCCTACCACCACCAGTTACAGGTTGCTTCACGCCCCCACCCATGTTTTTAGAGCTTTGTTAATAGACTCTGAAGTGTCCCATTGTTTCTCCACATTTGACACCTTTTTCTTGAGGGGACCCTGACTAATATATCCCCACAACAACCCTGATCATAAACCCTGATCACGGGGGTAGGGAATTCAATCTCTTTTATTTGAGGTTGCTATCCCAGCATCTAGAATGAAGTCTATTGCACAGCAGGTTTTCAATAAATGTTTGTTAAATGAACACATGAACAAATGAACATTATCTCTCCATCAGTGACCTTTGTGTTAAAACCTATTATGATTGAATTAATACAGTTTGACCAGCATTTTTGTGCTTTTATTTGTAATTCGTTAAAGTATGACAAATAATTATAAATGTTAGCAAAAAGCAAGCAAACATTATATGCACGGAAATCCAAGATAATTAACATAAAAATTTATTGAAACAGTAAGAGAATTCGGCAAGAAACAATGTTAATGTATAAAAGCCAACAGCTTTCCTATCAAGGTCTACACCTGGAGCCCCTGTCTCCACCCTGAGTAGAACCTCCACCCTGGGCTCCAGGGGATCTGGGACCCGGCTCAGGGGTTGGTGAATCCGGTGGCTGTAAAGGGGAGAAGCTCCCAGATTGAAAAATTATAATTTTACAGCTACACAATTTTAATCCTACATATTCAGTCGTCATGCCTTTTTTGTTTCAAAATAAGATTCCCTACTATAATTCCAAAATTTTTTCACACTTCGTCAAAGTAACGGTAATTTTAGTTTTGTCAATATCCCATCTATATTCAAGTTTCCCCAATTTCTCCACAAATAACTTACAAAAAAAATGCTATTTCAATCGTGAGCCAATAGAGAACCACCCTTTGCATTTGGCGGCAGAGCTCATGTTTAACCCTTAACCTCTTCGGGCTCGGGCTCGGCCTCCGGCTCTGAGAGAACATCACTCCCAGGTTGCTGACCAGCGGGGGCGCTGAAAGAGCGACCTCAAGAGTGGACGCCGAGGCCTACGGGAAACGTAGTCTTGACTCCTTCCGGCTCCCCGCGCGGCGCTCTGGGAAGGGGCTTCCGGGCTCCCTCTGCGCATGTGCAGCCGTAGCCCCGCCTCCTCCCTCGTCTTCTCCAGACTCCGCGGGAGCCGTTAGGTACCTCAGTCTCCTCGGGAAGTGGAGGGCGCGCCCGGGGTGAGAGTGATGGGGAGTGCTGGGGGCGGGAGTTCTCGGGTCCCTGTCGTCCCCAGCTCCGTGTGTGCTCCCGGGCGGGCCCTCGGCGGGGGCGGGCGGTGCAGGACCTCGGGCTCCCGGGGCGCAGGTGCGGCGGAGCTCATCAGAAGCGGGGACCGTGTGCCCGGCTCTCCTGCAGCCCGACCCCAGAAAAGCCCACGTCGGCGGCGGGAGGCCGGTTAAAACGCAGACGGGGCCTGGGTCTGCGGGGCAGCCGAGCTCCGGAGCCGGAAAGGCCCGGTCAGTCCTGGCTCTGTCACCTGTGAGCAGGGGCGACAGAAGGGCCTGGGTCAGCGTGCTCATGTGGACGTGAGATTGATAGCGCCGTCTCACGCCGTCGTTTTGAGGTCCGAGTCATCGTTGTACAGTATTTAGACGAGGGCCGGGTAGGAAGCCCTGGGTAAGGGACAGCTGCTGCCGTAGTTGGAAGTCAGTTTGTTGGTGTCGCTAGATGGCCTGATGTGCCCTCACGACCGCTTCCCCAGCAGCTGAGGCTCAGGTTGGTGGCCCGATGTGCTGGGTCAGGAGGTCGCAGCGCAGGATTTGGGTTCAAGGGCAGGTGGCTTCCCTTCAGTCTCAGTCTTTGTCTGATGTCGCAGCTGCCCAAGACTGGCACTGCGGCCTTCCTGGCTCTTAGGACCGTGGCCTGTCCCCACATCCCCAGGGATGTAAGGGAAGGGATGTGGATGGAATCCCAACATGTGTCACATGTACCCTGGAGTTTCTAGTGTCTCTTCAGGTCCCTTGGGTCAGACAGAGGGGCCTGGCCCCTTCTGCACTGACGGGATGTCCTTCAAGTCTGATATTGTAGTGAATTTCAAGAGTCAGGCTTTGGCCCCTAAAGTGAATTTATTTCCCAGATCCACGTCCCAGTTTCCTTGAACAAAGCAACCCTTGTGAGGCAGGAAGCAGGGGCCTCTGTGCAGGAGTCTTACCTGGAGGAGAGCACCCCTCTGACCTTAGACCTCTCTCCAGAGCTTCAGAGCGGAGACAGAAGAGCCTAGAAAGAGCAGGTCCTAGATTTGCAAGGTCAGAAGCCGTTCTGATCCCCTTGCCCAGAATGAGCCAGACTTGATGATGATGCCACCTTCAGGAGCCACCACACCGTGTGACAGTGGGGGGTTTGTTTGTTCCTGAGTAGAGCAGGTGAGCTGGGGTGGCCCAGGGGCAGGCTGCTCAGGAAAGGCTGCTTTGTTGGGGAGCTTGTGAGGGTGAGGTCCGGGGGACAGGGACAACCGGGCAGAGGGAAGAGGTTCTGGCTCTGGTCCACTTAAATGGCCCCTGCTCTTTACAGAGGCTGTGCTGCTGTCAGACGTGTCCATCACCACATGTGACATTAATGACATCATCCTGACCTCACAGGATCCCAGAATAATGGTGCTTGAAGGATTTTCCAAAGTCGTCTACTTTAACTCTTGAAAACTTTAAAGACATTGGGCCTGAAAGTTTCAGTGACTTGTCCAGGGAAACCTGGTTTATGACAGGAGGAAAACTGCAGTTCCCTCTCAGATAAGTCACCAAAAGCATCTTATCAAAGGGGCCTTCTGAGAAATACATCCCAGCTGAAACGAACAAAAGTTCCTGCCTTCAAGCATCCCATCTCTTTTCTGTGAATTTTCTGTACCAAGAGGTAAATAATATTACTGAGAAAAATAGATAAATGGTACATACTGAGTATTTTTCTGCTAAGTTAATTTTAATGAAAGAATACTGTCCTATCCTTTGGTGTAGTTTAATTCAACTAATCTGTTGGTTTTTTTCTTTGTGTTAGTCAGAAGGACACATATTATTATGAAATCAATCAAGAAAAGTTTATGTTCACTCAGTAAAAAACTGCAGATGATCATTGCAGAGTCACGCAAAGACAGGTGGTGCTGCCTGTCCCTGATCCTCCTCGTGCCTTTTCAAGGCCCAGAGGGCCCTCTGTCTGGGGGAGGATGATCCCCAGCTGGGGTGCTGATGTGGGGAGGTGACTCAAGGAGCTGTGGCAGGTCAAATCTCAGGACCCCTGTCTTCTTTCTGTCCCCTCAGCTGAACCACAGTTCTCTACACTCGCCCAGGAGCCACAGAAAGTGAACATCCCTCAGGTGAGTGCTTTCTCCGTTCCCCACTTTGTATTTTAAGGGATTTATAGGTTTAGAAGCATCCATGCATGAAATGGAAAAAGGACAAATAGAAATAGAGCAAGTCAATCTTGAGGGAAAATATATCCTGTTTGACTGTTAACTGTGATGTTTGTTGTCAGCTTTTGTAAGTGACCTTGTCAGGGTAAGTAGGTTCCCTCCAGGTACCAGTTTGCTGAGATCATGTTAGTCATGACTGTGCAATGCATTATATTGATTCCTTTTGTGCAGTTATTGGAATAGCGCTATAGTTTATTTCCTTCCATCTGTAGATACTGTAAACAGTACAATGGATTTTCTGATATGAACTTGAATTTCTGTATAGACCCTAGTTGCTAAGTTGCTTCTTACATATTTTCCTAGGGCTTTTTGCTGATACTCTATTTAGGATTTTTATTTCTGATCCACAGGTTGGATTAGATTGTACTTTCTAGTTTTTCTGTCTAGTTATGGTATCAGGGTCATAGTCTCATGAAAGAAAATGGCTCTGCTCTTTTTCTAATAATTTAAATAAAATTGTGTTACATGTAGATTTGGTGAAACTAACCTATAAATTTGGGCCTTATGAAGACTTTTTGCTTGAAGATTTTGATTATTGAATTAATTTGTTAGTCATAAGCCTATACTGCATTTGTATTTTTTTTCTTGGTATGAGTATGGTCATTACATTATCATAGAAAACTGTTCATTTTTATTTATGTTTTTCAATGTATTATCATGAACTGATTGATAGTATTCTCTTAGGATTTCTGTCCTTTATCTGTTATATCAATAATTTTCTGTTTTGGTCAGCTTTTAAATTTTATTTTAATATAAAACCGCTAATCCGAAAAGGACAGAATATGTTCTAGTTGGCCCAGTCTGAAACCTAAAATTTCTGGGTCTGAGGGTCTTCGTATTTTGTGCTGGCAGGGGACTCTAAACATCGGGAGTAGAGGAACATGCCCTTGCCTTATTGTGCTCTCTAGCTCTGCACAGACCCCTGTCAGCACCATTGGCTGACAAGACTATCCTTTCTCCATTGAATTACCTTGGCATCTCTGTGGGAAGTCAACCGGCAATGTATGTATGGTCTGTTTCGGACTCTGTTCACTTCTGATGATCTGTGTTAATCCTTTTGCTAATACCACACTGTCTTGATGAGTCTCTCTTTACGGTAAGTCTTGAAATCAGGTAGTGTAAGTCTTCCAACTTTGTCCTTTTTTAAAATCGTTTTGGATATTCTAGGCTCTTTGCTTCTTTATAGAAAGTTTTAAAAATCAGCTTGCCTATCTCAAAAGAGCCTGCTGAGATTTTGGTTTTGATTGCACAGATTCTATAGAATTTGTGGCATAGTTCAATTTGGGGAGAAATTGAATCTTGATCCTAATGAGTCTTCCAGTTCATGAACACAGTATCTCTCTCCATTTAGTTCAGTAATACGGAGGGTTTGGGTTTTTATCCTTTTGAGTCAAAAGGAGTGTTTTAAGTTACAGTTTAAAAGAATAACACTGTCTGCTGTTTGAAGATAGACTCTAGTGGGTCAGTGGTGGAAGCAGGTACAATGTAGGAGGCTATTTCTGTAATCCTAGCAAGAAATGATGATCCCAGGGTGTTAGTTACTTTGAAGTGGTCAGGTTTTAGGTGTAATTGAGGTTAGAGCCAAGAGTTTGAGAGCATGCGTTTCCTCCCTACAACCTTGCAAATAGAGTGTGCATCAAACTTTGGATTTTTACCAGTGTGACCTACAACTGATCTCAGTTTAGTTCTGTAAGCTTTGCTCTTCTCATGAGTAGGTGGGACATCGTTTTTTGTTTTTAGTTCATGATATTTCTTTGTTGTTGAACTCTTTATCCCTTACCCATTTTCCTGTTAATGTGCTGATTTTAATGACTGCATCCGGTATACCCTTATAGCACTTTTTCTGTGATGTAAATTGCAGAATTTTCCTACAATTTTTTGTATTTTTGTCTTACTCGTGGGTTTTTGTTTGTTTTTTTTTTTCTTTTACCATAAAGGCATTTGATTTTTACAATGTCAAATTTAGCAATTTTTATTTTCTGATTCCTGGATTTTCAGTCATAGTTGGGCATTTCCTGCTCTAACATAAGATCATTGTTCTGTATAGTCTTCTAGAATGTGGTGTTGTTTCTTGCATTTCGATCTTGAATTCATATTATTTTATCCTGCTCTCTGGTGTGAGAGAGAGATCTAACTGTCTTTTCTCAGGTGGCCTCCAGCTATCCCTGTGACATTAGTGTCCAGCCTTTCCTCACTCATTTGAATGACGTCACCTGTATTCAGATAGGAAGTTTACTCTGTGAATCGTTCTTCTCACCACACACTTTGTTCCGGGTCTTGCTCACTTGAAGCTTGGACATCTTTCTGGGCTCTCATCAGTGCCTTGCTCCTTCTGCCCACTTCTCTGTTTTCGTTAGATTGTGGGCTACATTGTCCTGTCTTTCTTATCTAATGCAGTCTTACCCTGTGTCTTCCAGAGTTTGTTCAAATTTTCAGGCCTTCTGCTGGGACATTTCTCTGTATTCCTTTTCAGTCGTGCTTTCATAGTAGGTTTTGTATTTTATCTGAGTGTTTTTGGAGGCAGGGGATGTAAGTATGTGTGCTGAGTATTCCCTTGAACTAGGGTAATCATTTATGCTTCTAATTCTCTCTTCTTTTAATTTCCAGTGCTCACTCTTTCTGCTTTCTCTTTCCACCATTTAGAAATTCTTTCTCAGTCTTCATGGCATGTTCATTTTCTGCTTGCCTCTTCAATTTTGCTGTTTCCCTGAATTCTGTATTTGGTGCCTTTTCTCTCCTCAGTTTCTATGTCCTTTGTGAACCATCCTTTTTTCTCTGATGACTTCAGTTACCATCTAAATGATTAATGTCTCCGAAATTGTAATTTTCATTTTAGACCTCCCTCTCTGTTCCAAAATCGTGTGACAACAGTGAAATAAATAATTCCATCTGTATGTTCCACAGGTGTTTTGAGTGTAAGTGGAAAACATCTGCCTCACTGTGATGCAACCTCTGACTGTTATTTATTCTTCTAATCCCCGTGTATGGCATTAGCATCTACCCAGTTGCTTGTGCAGCATCACTGTGTTTAACTGCACAAGAAAATAATGACCAGATTTTGCTTCCTATAAGGATTAGTTTCTCATTCATTATCTTTGTTGCTTTGTCTTAATATAGGTCCTCTCTTAAATTAAGTCTTTTGTTTTGCTGGTTAAGACATTGTCCACTATTCATATAGAGCAATGATTCCTAATAAGGATCAATTTTGCTCCCCAGGGGACGTTTGGCAATGTTTGGAGATATTTTTGATTGTCACAACTGGGGATGCTACTGTCATCTGATCAGTAGAAGACAAGGATACCGATAAAGATCCTAAAATATACAGGACAGTTTTCCACAAAAATAGCACTATCTGATCCACATTGTCAGTAGTGCCAAGTTGAAGAAGCCCTGTTCTAGAGCATTGCTCCTGAAATATAAATCTGGTGGTGTGTAATACCTCCCTGGGCTTACATGTCTCTCCTATTGGTTCCATGTTACTCCAGCAGAGATCTCCAGGCTGGGGTGTGTATACTCTGCAGAGTGCTCAGCATAATCCATTGGTGTATGGGAAATATATACAAGAATCCTATTTAGAATAACTTTACCTTAAAAAATACGGCACTAGGCTTTCTCATTATATTAAGTGACAATATATGTGTATAAAATAAAAATAAATATAAATGAATTAGAGCATGAGACTAATTTTTTTTTTTTTTTTTTTTACTAATTATGTGTGTATCCACAAAGTATAAGACATAATTAGAGCCCTGTGCCGGTCATCCTTTACAGCGTTTTGTTTTAAATTCTGAACAGTAAACATAGTAAGACGTAGTTTCCAAAAGTATTTTCCATGTCCCTGGTCTGGACCCTCACATTGATTAGAAATGTGCTGTTGCAGGTGTCAGTGTCATTCAAGGACGTGAGTGTGGAGTTCCCCAGGAGGAGTGGCGGCAGATGGACTCTGCACAGAGGACCCTGTACAGAGACGTGATGATGCTGGAGAACTACAACCGCCTCGTCTCTGTGGGTGAGCAAACTTCACTGTGTGACTCCCTTTAGACTGCAAATTCTATTTTTTATTTTTTAAATGTTAATCACTTTTGTTGAGGTGTATTTAACAGAAAATAAAACTTAGCACTTTGCAGTGTACAAGTGAGTGAGTTTTGAAAGATGATACAGTAGGTGACCATCAGCAAAATCACTATTTGGAATAATTCTGTCATCCCAGAAAGGTCCTTGGACCCCTTTGCAGTGAGTCCCTTCCCTCTGTCTCTACCTCTCAGACCTTCAGAGTACTCAGTAGTCTGCTTTCTATGGCAATGGTTTTGCCTTTTCTGGACTTTCATATAAATGGAATCATAAAGTATAGACTGTCTCTTGTCTGGCTTCTTTGACTCAGCAGAATGCTTTTGAGACTCCTGCATGTGTGTGAATCACTAATCTTTCTGTCCTGAGTAGGGTTGCTTTGTGTACATAAAGCACAGTTTGTTATCCTTTCAGTTGTCCACTTGGGGCAATTATAAATAAAGCTACTATGAACATTAAATGCAAGTTTTTGTGTTGATGTGTTTTCATTTCTCTTGTGTAAATACCTAGGCGTGGGCTTGCTGGGTCTTCTGGTAAATTTATATGTAACTGTGTGAGAAGCAACCAAATGTGTCCAAGCTGGCTTTACTGTTTTTCATGCCTATGAACAATGAGAGTTCTTATTGCTGTCTGGTTACCAACAGATGCTTTGGTAAGTCTTACTATTTTTAACCGTTCTAGTTGGTGTCTCGTATCTTGTTGAGTTTTCATTTGCATTTCCCTGGTGACTGACAGTGCTGAGCCCCTTTTTGTGTGCTTTTTTACTATTCATAATTCTCCTTGAATGAAATGTATGGTCCAATCTTTAGCCCATTTTTTTTAGTTTAGTTTGGTTTTTTGGTCTTATTGTTGAGTTGAAAGTTCAGAACTTTATCAAATATTATGTTTTGCAAACATATTTTATGCATCTCTGGCTTTCCTTTTTAAGAAGAAAATGTTTTCAGGTTGATTTTGGTTTTAACGTATACTTTAAAAACTTTTTATATGACATAATTATAGCTTCACAGGAATTGGCACAGCTGTAGTCTTCACAGGTTTCTCTCAACAATTATGTTTTCTATAACCATAATATAGTCTCAACACCAGTAAAGAGACACTGGTACAATGTGTGTAAATGGCTCTGTGCCATTTTATCACGTGTGGAGATTTGTGTAACCACCATCACAATCAAGATACAGAACTATTCTATCACCACAAAGGGTTCTCTTGTGCTGCCTCTTTATAATCATACCTGTTCCTCTCCCACACCTTCTCTAATCCTGCCCACTACGTATCTGCCCTTCATCTCTAATTTTGCCATTTCAGGTTATATAAATGGAATCATACAGTAGTTGATGTGAGGTTGAGATCCATCTAACTTATAGTGTGTATCAGTCATTTATTCTATTACTGCATAGTGTTCCACTGTGTTAATGTATCATAGTTTGTTTAGCCATTCACCTATTGAAGGATATTTTGGATGTTTCTAATCTTTGGCTATTATAAATAAAACTGCTGTGAACGTCCACATTCAGGTTTTTGTGTAAACATAAATTATTATTTCTCTGGAATAAATACCCAGGGGTGTGATTAGGGTTGTATGTTTTGTTTGTTAAGAAACTTCCAAACTATTTTCCAGAGTGGCAGTACTATTTTGCATTTCCACCAGCATTGTATGAGAAATCCAGTTACTTCCTGTCCTTTCTAGTACTTGGCATTATCACTATTTTTTCTATTTGTGGTTGTAATAGGTGTATAGTGTTATCTCCTCATGGTCTTAATTTGCATTTCCTTAATGGCTAGTGATGTTAAATATCTTTTCATATGTTCCTATGCTGTCTGTATATCCTTTAACAGTAAGATGTCTGTTCATGGCTTTTGTGCATTTTTTTCCATCTTTATTGATGTATAATGACAAGTAAAACTTGTGTATATTTAAGGGGTACATCTTGATGTTTTGATATATGTATACATTGTGAATTAATTGCCACAATTGAGCTAATTAACATATTTATCACCTGACATTGTTATCTTTTTTCTTTGTGGTGAGAACACTTAAGATCTCCTGGCACATTTCAAGAATACAATATGGTATTGTTAACTGTAGTCATATTGCTATACATTAGATCTCCACAACTTATTCATCTTGCATAACTGAACTCTGTACCCCTTGACCAACATCCCCCCATTCCTCAGCAAACCAGCCCCTGGAAACCACCATTCTTCTCTCTGTTTCTCAGTTTGACTGTTTAAGATTCCGCTGAGATCATGCAATATTTGTCTTTCTGTGTCTTGATTATGTTTTGGCTAACAGTATTCCATTGTGTGTATGTATACCCCATCTGCTTTAATCATTCATCCATCGGTGGATATTTAGATTGTTTTTATATCTTGGCTATTGTGAATAATGCTGCAGTGAACATGGGAGTGCAGATAGCTTTTTGAGATCTTGATTTCATTTCCTTTGGATATACACCCAGAAGTAAAATTGCTGGATCATAGGGTAGTTTTATTTTCAGTGTTTTCAGGAGCCTTCATACTGTTTTCCAATGGCTCTACCAATTTTCATTCCTATCACAGTGTACCAGGGTTCCCTTTTCTCCACATCCTTACTGACACTTCTTGTCATTTTCTTTTTGATAATCTCCATTTTCTGACAGGTGTGAGGTGATATCTCATTGTGGTTTTGATCTGCATTTGCCTGACAATTAGTGATATTGAGCGTATTTTCATATACTTGGTGGCCATTTGTATGGCTTCTTTTGAGAAATGTCAACTCAGTTCCTTGACTCATTTTTTAATCTGGTTGTTTGCTTTTTTGCCATTCAGTTCTATGGCTTCCTTTTATATGTTGGATATTTACCCCTTATAATAATACTTATAATTTACAAATATTTTGTCCCATTCTGTAAGTTGCCTTTTCACTCTGTTGATTGTTTCCTTTGTTGTCCAGAAGCTTTTTAGTCTGATGCAATCTCAGTTGTTTATTTCTGGTTTTGTTGCCTGTGCTTTTGGTGTCATATCCAAAAAAACACTGATAAGACTGAAGTCAAGGAGCTTTTTCCCTATATTTTCTTCTAGGAGTTACCACCAATGACTTCCTTGTAACTAAACCTAATGGACACCGTTCCATCTTTGTTTCACTTGGTTTGACAGTGACTGTGGATGATGATAACTTCCTCTTGGAGATACTCTCTTTACTAAACTTTTATAACTCAGTAGTCTCGTGGTTTCCCTCCTCTGTATATTCAGTTGTAATATATTGTCTTAGATTTTACAAAGATGCCCAAATCTCAACACTCCCAGACAGAACTTGCAGTGTTTCTCTGCAGATGCTTTTTCTATGTCCTCCAAAATGAGTGCCTCCCATCTGCATGGATGCTAAAGCTAAAGTCTCAAGCAACATCTGTGAATCTCCCCTCTCCTTCAGTACCCAATCTCTCATCCCACCACCAACCAGTCAGTCGGTGCTGATTGTTACAGTCCCTGAATGGCTCTTTAATACTTCTACTTTTCTGAATCCTTTCTGAAACTACCCTAGTCCAAATAACCAACTAAATAACTGGATGATCTTAATGACCTCGTGGCTCTTAGCCTCAATTTCCTGGTTTGTAAAATGAGTTAGAATTAGAATGAACACCAAGTTTCTTCCTTCTCTATATTCTGTGATTATTGGAATTTAAAACTAAGGAGAAGCTCAGGGCAAAATCAGTTCCCTTGCTTTGGGAGACCATCTCACTTTCTCTATTGAAATTAACTCTTGGGGTGACCAAGATTGTGCCTCATAACCTTCCATAGCACTACTCTTAAGGACAATCCCAGAATCTTCAAGACAACTTATAATAAGACCCTTTATCCTAAGTGGGAATCTGCCTCAGGCCATGTTTTGAGCTGTATAAAATATTTTAAAGTGAGATTGTAATATTGTAAAAAATTTATCTACCTTATTTTGTTAGTTTGTCTGAAAGCTCTAATTCTTGAAAACGTGTCATGTGAAAAAAGTCCCATGTAAAGATATAGTCCATCTTTTTTAACTACCTCTTGAGTGTCTATAAAAAACCCCGGATAACAGGAAGATGTTGATGGAGATCGGGGGGAGTGGCAGTAATGGAGGAGTTTGGTTGATTTTCAGCAGTAGTAAGGTCAAAATAAAAGCGTCATAAAAGAATAGTAAAGGATTTAAGTCAGGGCTTTCTATGGAAAAAAATTAATAACTATGAGCAGATGTAACAAGTTAACTGACACAGTATAGCAGACTCTACTGGTGAGTTTAATAGGCAGCCATTTTAATGGCAGAGAGTAGATTGCAAAGTGAGGAAAAGTTAGGAAACGTCAGAGGGGCAAGAGCCACAAAAGTGAGGGGGTCCCTTCCTGCCCTGAGAATTCTTCTGGGTCTGAAGTGTGTGAGCCCAGCTGAGTGAAGACCTAGGGAGGATGTTGTAGATCCTGTAAAAGGGGCATCCATCAGCTGCGGGAAGATGTGCCATCTGTCTCCAGAGCTCATTAGCAGATTGAAAGTGGGACCCTACATTACTCTGATTAGGATTAAATTTCTAATACCAGGGATGGAACTCTCCTCTACATGAGTGGGCATTCACACAAAAACACAGACTCACCTGGTGTGGATAAAACACAAGTAACCGTTACTGCTGTCTCCCGTCTTCCCAGGACCCAGTGGGAAGGAAAAGGGAGGTTCTCCAGCAAAGAGTGGAGTTAAGGGCTGGAGTTTTCCAGCTCTCCAAGCTGAGTGCAGGTCCCACGAATGGGGGAGAAGTGCAATGCCATCTTTCTGGCAGCCTGAGACCTTGGGAAAACTGAGTCCTTCTAGTCTGGTTAGGGAAGACGCAGTACTTCCAAGCCACTGCAGCAGGGCAACAGCAGTGTCACAGATAAGATGAGCATCCTGTTACCTCAGGGCCTCCCAAGGAGAGAGCATTTGGGCTCCTACCATTTCTTGGGATAACTGGTTCCTGGCCTTTTGGAAAACACCTAGTCATACCAGGGCTAGGCTTCTCAGGAAAAGTAACTTACCAGTCCCTTTAAAATATGTGACTTAAAGCTATCTACAGTTTTATATTTTAAATAGATTGTTGAAACTTCATTTCAAACTGCTCCCTTGTAAAACTGTTTCAGATAGCTTTAAATCCAAGGAAGTGTCTTTCAAACTCTTTTGACAGCAACTCACAGAAAAAATATGCAGTATTTTTTATCATAAACCAGTACACACACACACAACTAGTACAGAAATATTATGTAACTTTCTTTCCCCTTATTACATGTGATGCACTCTAATACGATCTATTCCCTTTTGTTTCATTGTTTTTTAAGTGCTTGTCACAACACCCAGAAGTATTTCGTAATCCATTCGTGGCTCAAGACCTGAGGTTTGAAAAACACTCTTCTAAAATTATGGGTTCCAGATATTCTAGCTGGTAGCCTTGTGTCCAGATTTTTTAATGTGTCATTAAAATGTATCATCAAAAATCGGTATTTTCTGAAGAATCCTCAGTCCCTGTAGAGAGCACTATCTTGGGAATTCCAATAATAACTCACTAGATGAGTAACCATGGTTTCCTTTGTAGAACTGAGATGTCAGCTCAACACTGAGTAAATGTGGCATAGAATCAGAATTGGAAAGGGAGGACCATCACCAAATGCAATGTATGTTCCTCTGGAAAACCCAAAGCAGCCTAGAGTGAAGTATGGGGAACAAAACAGAAAAAAAAAAAAAAATTAATGGAGAAAAGGTCAAGCTTGCAACTTCTATTTCCAGGCTTCACAAGGTACACTGGTACTTTCCAACCCTGAGAGACAAGGTGATGTTCAGGATGACTCCACTAATCATGTGGCCTTGAGTATCTCAGCAGATGTCAGTTAAGTCATTTAAAAGGATAACTGTAACTTAAATTAGTTCATCCTAATTATGAAAAAATGGTAAATTCAAATAAGCAGGGTAATTTACTTTTATTTTGATTTAAAAATTTTTTCAGTTACTTGGCTTCTCAAATCAGAGTAAATGGGTAATGGTACCAGTTATATGAATTTGACTCTTAAATTTAAATACACATATGAGCTGGATTAAAGTTCTTATTTGATATGCACATTAACATTTGTACTAGAGTTTCAGCTGGGAAGATGGTGGTGTACGAGGACTCTGAACTCACCTTCTCTCATGGACACAACAAATTTACAACTACTCTTGGAACAGTTATGCCTGAGAGAGAACTGGAAACTGGATAAAAATTACCCCAACAACAAGGGACCATGCTGTCTCAGTTGGAAGACGCAGAAATTCCTTTCTGGAGAGAAAGAAGCCACATTTTAGCTCTGGCGCTCCATGGCTGGAAGCAGTCTTAAGGTATGGAGCTTTGCCTGGAGGAGCGGGGGAATCTGAGCTGGAGAGCTTTAGCACACTAAGTGGCTTTTGAACTCAGTGCACCCAAGATGAGTGTAATAATATCTAACTTTGCTGGCTATTAACAACAATGGGGAATACCCTAGAAAAGCTGTTGAGCAGAAGAGAAAGGAAACCCTCCTCTTAAAGGGCCAATGCACAAATTCACCCATTTCAGAAAGCAACCTAAAAATCACCAGAAAGGTGCACAGTCTTTTGGTGAAAAGAGACTCACTGGATAGGCTCTGGGTGCCTGAGAAGCAGGAGGCAGCTGGAACCACCTCCCCAAGGACTCAGACATTGGCAGCAGAAATTATTGTGACCTAGTACAAGGATGCTGACACAAGCTGGCAGACGCCATTGGAGTTCTTCCCCTGGCCTGTTAGTGCAGGCTTTGGCCTCACCCACTAGAGCACCAATTTCACTCTGCTTATAATTCTCTGGATTCTTTCAATGTAAGAACATGTGTTTATTCAATCCTAGAAGTTCTTTTCTGTTCCTTTGATAACCTTTGATTATTACTTCAGTCTGGAAATCTAATCAGATGAATGTTGGACCAGCTTCCATGTCTGCGCGTGATGGAGTAATAGGGACTGAATTTATGTTCTTGCCTTAAACCAGAAAACTGGGCAAGATATGAAATGATGGTTTCTACACATTGGGTAATAGAATTTAGAACTATCATCCCTGAGAAAGATGAAACAAATGGGGTGAGACTTATGATTGGCCCAGTTTACCACCAGGAGACAGTTTCCAGGCCATAGTGTAGGGTGGATGTAGTCAAAGAGAACTCACTTGGCAATCTTGCTGAGTTGAGGAGATAGAAGTCAGAGTCTGGGGAGGTACCATTGCACACTTGTCAGATTATAAATTTTAAAAATTATGACCACACTTTATGTTGATAGGACTGTGGGGAATCAGGCACCCTCATACATACTGCTGGGAATGTAAACTGGTAAAACCCTTTTGGAAAGAAACTTGGGCATATTTTAGAAAACCACCTATGCACTCACCTTTTGAACCTCCAGCTCACACAGGGCAGGGACCCTCCCTCTGGGCTATCTCCACCCAATAGAAAGGCATCAGGCAACTTCTGGGTCCATGTAGGTAGGATGTGTGGGATCTCTGCAGCTGGGAGTGAGTGTTTCTGCCTGTGTGGCAGGGCGTGTGCAAAGGGCAGGGCATGCACAAGGGATGAGCCTGCACTGGTGAAGTGTGTGGCACCTCTGCAGTAGGGCCAGTGGATCCACTTCAGTGAGGCAGGGCATACGCATGGGACAGGACAGCACTTACAGGGTGTGTTGGCCTGCAGGTGGTTATGCTTGTCAGTTGCAGCAGACTTGCGCTTCTCAAACAGCCACATAGGGGACGGCCCCACCTTCCAAAGCCTGAAACAATTGGATGCAGCCATACCTGGGGCCGACCCCACCCAGCTGCAATCCTGAGAGAGCTGACAACAGCCTTGCAACCTGGAGGCCTACAGCAATTGTAAGTCTCTGAGCCTAGCAATCAGCCATGCTAGGGACCTACTCCCTTAACTGAAAAAGTGCAGCAGGAATG